TGGGCCTCTCCTTATCGGACTACCACCGTCGTACTACGACTCCATCGTTGAGGCGGCACAGCTGGATGTTGTGAAGCCACCTGTCGAGCCCACCGAAGCTTGCCAAGTATCTCGAAGGAGAAGACGTTGAGTTGAATGAGGCCGAGAAGAAGCGCTTCAGGTCGACATTTGGTCGATTAGCGGGGTTTTCACTGACAGCACCACCCTTGGCTTTCCAGGTGAGTTTTTTGAGTTGCTACCAGAGTAACCCAACCAAGAACGGATGGGAAGCGTTGAAGGATGTGCTGAGGTACGCAAAGTCGTTCAAGGGCTGTTCGCAATACATCGGACAGTCGGAATGGGGCCAGTCAGTCGAACAGGTCTCTGTTGTTGTGGATGCAAGTTGGTCTACTCGCTCCGTAATGGGCGGTTTGTGCTTTGTTGGAGGCACCATGGTGAAGTGCTTCTCAAGACGTATCCAAACGATATGCCTTAGCTCTTGTGAGGCTGAGCTCCATGCCTTGGTGGAAGGAGCTCACGAATCTTTGGCGATAGCGCTGATGACTGAGACGTTTCAGAAGGGATTACCAAGTTGTGATTCCCTCGGATTCCACAAGAGTGTGGAAGGAACATTTGCAGTTGAGATGCACTCTGATTCGGAGGCAGCTATCGCAGTCGGAAAATGTCTGTACGGTTACAACAGTTGGTCGAGTCGGGAAGGTTGCGCTTGAACTTCGTCCCGGGCCATGAGAATCCAGCAGATCTTCTGACTAAGGACTCAGATAGGATTCATTTGGACCTTTGTATCCAAGCCTGTGCACTTCGTCGTCAACTAGGATTTGGTCGTTTGCGTGACTACATCAATCAGTATCAGGGCCTAGAGTTGAAAGGCGTGAGGAGGCGCAACCAGGCGAAGATCGTTGCTTGTGTTGAAAAATGGTTGAGCAGACATGAAACGGTTCAGCGTGTTGATCCAGCATTGAGCAACATTGAGCGTGTTGATCCAGCATTGTGCAACATTGAACATGTTGGTTCAGCATTGGATGTTGGCTTGAAGTGTGAAGATAAGTCGACTTTGACGTTCGTCGATTCACTTGTTGAAACTCGGACTTCGACTTCGGAGGACACTGGGAAAGAAGGGGAAAACCCCAGTAGGCAGGAAACTGCCTATCTCACCGAGCCGAATGAGAGGCGCGTGACGTTCGAGGGAGAAGCCACGATCTTTGAGGTTCCAGAGAGTCTTCTAGCTTTTAGAGCTATTCCGAAGAGGTGGAAGGATCTACTAAGTAGAACGCATATTATTAGTCACTGGCACCGAGAGTTTTCTACGTTGTTCATAGGATTCAAGCCCCTGATTGTTGAGATTTGTTGTGAAGAAGAAAGTGGTATGTGTGTTGTTTGCAGAAGACTTCAACTACCATATATAGGAGTGACTAAGAACATTGGACTCACTGGACCCCCCAAGCAGATTCTCAAGTGGGTCAGAGAATGTCAGAGACATTCAGCGTGGTGGCTATCGACACCATGCACCGCAGGCTGTCGACTCAGGCATTTGAATTTACAGAACGAAAAACATCTAGAAACGTGGCAGAATAGGTTTCTAGCACACAGAGAGATATGGAAGGCCATCAGGGACATCTTTGGTAAGAATTGGAAAACGAAACGGAGTATTCTGGTAAGTCATGAATGGCCTGTGAACTGTGATCTCTTTCAAGATGTCTTGTATCAAGATGTTGCCAAACTTTTGTGTTTGCAGTTTCAGGCAAAGGTAAACAGGTGTTGCCTAGATGGTATCCGTAAAGAGTGGTTAGTTCACACGAACTGTGAGTCGTTTGCAGCCCGCGTCGCCACTGGAACTTGTGCCTGCACCGAAAAGCAGGATCCAAAGAACCTAAAGGATTCAGGCAACTACTCTTCTGCTGTCGCCCTACGATGAAGAGATGGGCACAAGGGTGAAAAGGGATAAGAAAGAGTTTCACTGTTTTGCATGATCTTTGCATGTTCTTTTGAACTGAAGTCAAAGAAAGATGTTTTAGCATGTCTGGTACGAAACGTCGAGACGGAATAGTGGAAGCTTATTTTTGGAAGCTTAAGTATTTCGTGCTGCGCCGGTTTGGAAGATTTCATTGTTGGGTTGGAGAGAACCTGCAGAGAAGAGGCTCGAGATGTTGGAGCTGATTTTTCTCTCCATTACCGCTCAGGCGGTAGTGATCCTCATTTTGACGTGTGTCATTTGGAGGTGGCGCAACCAGCCGCCTTGCATGGAAGATGGAAGAGAGCGCTCTCCAAGGGCGCCCCCGTTGCCGACCGACCCAACGAGTGAAGAACGGAGCGCAGCAGCAGCTCGCCTTACGGCGGGAATGTCCAGCAGGATGATCCCAAGTCCAAGGACCCCGGAAGAGGTCTTTGAAAGTTCAGGTGCAGCGGGGGTCCAACCTGATCCATACACCAAGCCCCAGCAGAAGACTGTGCCAAGAAATGATCCGGAAGAAAGCAAGGATGAAGTGAGGACTCCTAGCAATGAGTCACTCATTGACGTGAGGGAAGCATCCAATGGAGGGCACAACTATGTCGTCACGAAGACTGGCACTCATTTCCACAGAGCTTCGTGCACCTATGCTCGCAGAAGCAAGCGAGTTGTCCAAGCCCGCCTGTGCGAGAAGTGCTCGGAGAGGGTCCATTTGGGATTCTCGAAATTCCAATTGTGCGTGTTTCAGCACCACACGCTACATGTGGATGTCGCCTGCAAACATGGAGATCCTCGCGATGAAGAGTATCCAAGAACGCCATTGAAGCCTTGCTTGACGTGCTGCCCTACGATCAACAGAACTCTTGGCAAGAGGGTCTTGGAATGGCCGAGAAGGCCTTAAAGATGGAAGTGTTGGCTGGCAAGCCAAAGTTGGTGGCCGAGAAGGCCGTATGAAGGAATGGCCGAAATGGCCTTGTGGTTTTGGACCTTAGAGGTCTGCCGATTTGCAAATAGCCTTTAAATAGGCCAGGAGTTTCAGTGACCCCCAGTCACCAAGACTGGCGATGGAGCTGATCTCAGAAACGACAAATGAACTAATGTTGAAAGGAAAAAGAAGAGATTCTTAAAGAATGTTTCGGTCAAGAAGGGGTGTGAAAGAGTGTAAACCTCGAGGACTGTGTCTAGAACTGTGTGACCAAAACCATTTTCCTTTCAAGCGTTTTCACCTTGCGTGTTCAGATTTGGTTTCTGCATTTGATGTTCAGTTGCAATCTATGAAGTGCTTTGGGTAGATCTCACTACATGTGAAGACCTTGAGATTATCTAGTTCTCGTTCACTGTCATTGGAGCTAGATGACTTGTCGTGCAGATGTCAACTTTTGTTTGCACACACGTATGAACGTGAAGTCCACTTGCTGTGCAGAGTGTACCGAACTCAGTTCCTGTGAGATGCGCACGGAGAGTTACAATAGATGTTGAACACCTTGAACTGTTGTCTTTGGAACGTTGTCCTTTGGTAAAATTGTGTTCACCCAATGTCCCTGGTACACAAGGATTGGAAATGAATACATTCAGTCCTGACAGTTTCCGCTTGCATTGAACGTACGGACAAAGGTCAGAAAGCATCAGAAGTGAACTTAGTGTTTCACAGATGCATTGCACGAACATGTCAGTTTGTTTGCTTCAGAGTTGCACTGTTTGCAACGCGTTGCGTTACGTTGCATTTCAATTTGCTGATTTGTAGATTTGAGTTTGTTGAATTATAGTGAACTACAGATATGATAGATGCCACACACGCACTGTACGACACGCACTCGCAGGATTGTGACGCCAGTTTGCTTTGCCCAATACGCTAACAGAAACAGTTTGAATTGACCACGGTCAATTTTTGAACCTTGATTCAAGTCAAGTTTTTGGAGTTCTGCGCACTCCTGTTCTGTCTGCTTGGCGTTCACCTTGGCGCTTTGCGTTTGAGCTGTGTGTGCATCTGTGGTTTTGGATTCCACGTGAGCACCCTTACAGGCTGCACTTTGGACATGTCGTTGACACGTCACTTGGGTACCTGTCTTTGCTTGTGCACGCGTTTTGTGTTTGGCTGAATATCCCTGAGGGATGCCTGCAAATCCGTGACATCGATCTCTGCGCAGTATTGATCCAAGTCGATGTGTCCCCGATGGTCTGTGCCCACCTCTAGCGGTTCTCACGACCCACGCTGTTGTTTGGACTTTGTTGGAAAAACAACCACCGGAATCCAGCCAAGAAGTGAATTCAGAATGTGTAGATTTGAAATTATGAGCTTTTGAGTGTTTTTCGTGAAAGAGAAGCAGCCAGTACTTGTACAGATGAATTCACGAATTCATCAATGAAACAAGAATATGCCACGAAATGTGGCTCAAGCCCGGAGAGAGAACAAAAGATCTAAATAGATCTTGGACGTGACGCGTCGTGTGGTAGCGCGCTTGTTGTTGCGGTTTGCTACCTTTACATTGGTTGGTTTGGTTTGGGTTGGGTTGGGTTGGGTTGGTTGGTTGGTTGGTTCTGTTTTTGTTTGCTTGTTTGATTCATTGATTGATTGCTTGATTGATTCATTGATCGTTTTTTGTTGTTTTGGGGTTTGGTTTCTTTGTGTGTGCTTTGGTGTATGATACATAGATATACTGCATGATACTGCATACATCTTACTCTTGTGTTTCAAAATCAGTTGTGTGATTCCATATGCCCCGATCATAGACTGCTTTCCCAAGGCTGTTCGTTCGCAATGTTCAGAGCCCTTACTTACCCTGTTGTTTGTTTGATTCGCCTCGATTTCTGGGGACATGCGTGGATACTTAGTTGGTCAATCAAGATGTTATGAGGAACATGCACAGAACCATGAACATCATGAATCCCTCGTGTTAGAGGCACGGGACATCTAGCTTCAGAGCATTGAATGAGATACAGTGGAGGCACTGTGGGTCGTGTCTTTCGTTCACATCGCAAACCCCGGTCATGTCCAGTTCTGCCGAACGCGGGGGGAGACCGGGAGACCCGTTTGGCGCGTGTGTCGCTCCAGGAAGTGCAAGGCGATGTGGGAGGAGGTGGACCCCCTCAGCGGCTTGCCACTCCAGTGGCAGGACACACGCGTGACGATGCACAGATGGTGGGACTGGGTACGGTGTCACGGTGTTGGTCTCTTGGAAGCAGGTGCCGGAGTGTGACATCTACAGTAATCAATCTTCTCTCAAAACGTGTTTAGACCATGTTTAAACAGAACAGCTGTATATAATATAGATAGTAAAGGATATTAGATATATGATATGATCTAAAATCTAATAGGTGCTATATAGTAATACATATGTTTCAGGCTCTGAGTTCTTGGTGTCCTCTTCTCACCTCTCCCCACTCTCAACCCTTCGTGCCGTCGCGACCTGACGCCGGGTGCCGTCGCACCGAGACCGGAGGACCTCACGACGGGCCAAGAAGTCGTGGACCTCACGACGGGCGCAGCCGAGGCCGCGACGCTGCGGAGGCGGCAGGCGGCGCGGCGTGCCGGGTCGACGTATGCGCCGGAGTTCTTGGGACGCTTGGTGGGGAATCATGAAGAAGAATGGCAGAGGTGGAAGAACCCTTTTTGGACCATCTGATAGGTAGCCCCCAGGTCACGAGTCCTAGTTCAGGTCACTTAACTTCTGGAATGGCTGAGCCAGGAGAGGACTGGAGAGGACTCGCAAGGTGACATGATATTGGGGCCAGGCGAGTGGCATCGGGTGGCAGAAGAGAGGACGGGAAAAGGGATATGCGGGATCTGTGGGATACTTGTACGTGGTGGAGGGAAAGTGGGAAGGGGGGGGATGGTGGAAGCCGGTAGGGTATGGTGGAAGCATGTTCTGGCCAAGAAGCTACCTGACTAGGTTTTGATATGTTTTGATTGTTGGGATTCTGGTTCGTGGCTTTCCTGGTTCTATCAACTCACTTCTATTCACTCACAAACCATATCTCTCCATTCCAAACCGTCGCACAGCTTTCCACTGTCCTAGGACTCTTGGAGGCCGCTTTGGTGAAAGCCTGGGCGGCCTTTGCGCGCAGCGCGGCCGACCTCGGCGCGGAGCGCAGCGCTCCGACCGCGGCAAGGACGGCGCCGAAGGAACTCTTGCGGGCGACGGAGCTGGTGCTGAACGAAGCTAACGAGCTGCAAGAGACTCATGGTGGAACAGGTGGAGTGGTGGTGGAATCCGTATGTCCGTATGTCCAAAGCATAGCCATTTGGAAGACAAATAGCCTGTTTGAATGTCTAGTATTGGTGTGGCGGTGTTACCAATGTTCCCTTGACTTTGTTGTTGCTAGTAAAGTTTGACAACCCGCTCCAAGTCAGAGTGTTTGCATCGAATCTACATCATCCCTAGAATCATCAAATGATTTGTTCAAGAAATTAAACATGTCATGGCCATGGCCAATTTTTTTGCAAACAAGTAGATTCAGTGTACCGGTAGATAGCACAACACCCATGCCATGCACTGTTTTAGTTGCACCCTACTTTAACTTTGGTGTAGTTCCTTTTGATAAACGTGGCAGTTTAGATCAATTCAATTACTGTAGAGTTAGTGGTCGAGACGGCAAGAATCTTTACACAATCTTTTCGAATCAGCCTGAATCAGCTTCTTCCTTGCCATGTTTGAGGAAGGAACAGCGAAAGGCTGGCAGCAACGAGATCGGCATGTTGGCTTGGCGCTTGCTGTTGAGGACACCAGAGCCCCTGGGCGATCAGAGAGGTGGATGGCTTGGCAGGTTGGAGAGGCTATTAGGATTTTCAGGCGCCAAGCATAATGTGGGCAGGGAGGAATGTTCATTGAGGAGGCTTTTGGCGTGGATCTATGGATACATAATATGATTAATCTGTGTCATTACATAACTGTATAATCAGATACCCTAGTTCATATACAATCATGGAAGGGGAATTGTTTGGCCAGGAGATGTTCCTCCCCCAAAGGGGTGCATCGTTTCTGAGGATGTTTGGAGGTCAATTCTGATGCTCAGTACTGACTTCCACCCACCCGGGCCCCGCATGCTCAGATCGCTCATCTCCACGCAACATCTACGCAGCTCGTGGGGTGTGAAGAGGTCACAGTGACGGTTCTCCAACCATACTCTCAGATAGATTAGTCGCATCGGTTTGCACTAAATGTTGCCGTTACTTGCGTCGAAAGGTCTTCGGGAAGTCGCATCGGTTTCATGATTCCATGCTGTTTTGAGAACATGCGACATGCAAATGATCTAGCTAACCTTTCTTTCAATGCTACTGGGGCCTCGCTTTAAGTCGTATCAACTGGAGGAAAGTCGTATCAAAATGGTGTGCCCTTGGGGATTGGCTTTTCGGAGGATGTTTGTTGTTGTTCTATTTGTTCTACGAACTGATGTTAATGTGCTGTGCCCATGCGTTGCTTGCTTGTGTGATAGATTCAACAACCTTGTTGCATCATTGCATCGTGTTTTTTGGAGGTTCACGCTGAACTCCCAACATGTCAGGTGATGCTCCGGATGAATGTTCCCCATTGAAAGATCAAAGAAGAACCCATACATTGCGACGCAAAAAAGAAAAGAACGAACACGAGGGAACGTAGGGATCCTCGGGTCCTGCTCTCAGGTCCTGTGAAACCACGGTCATTTTGTTGTTCTGTGCAAAACATACCATAGGACCATGGTGGTGGCTTGCCAAAAAATCCCAGCAAACCCCCGGAGTCCCCGTACACAGTCGGGTCCACGGTCATCAGTTGGTCGGTTGACATGCTCAGGTCCAACGCGCCGGTGGTTTGGGTCTTCGTCCGCTCGAAGTCTGAACGGTGAGGTTTCCGGAGGGCCGATCGGTGGTGCTGATTGCCAATGATGTGACTCATCAGGCCGACGGCCGGTCGCGCGTTCGTCGTCGGTTGTAGAACTGTTTGTTCAATGAGGTTCTTTAAGGCATGGAGGCATGGAACCCCCAGATGGGCGCCTGAAGGAGCATGGAGCTGGTTTGACAGAAAGAAAGAGCATAGTAGGACAGAGGCCCAGAGAAGAGAAAAAACAGCTTACAAGCAGACCCTGAGTTCCATCGAAGAAGTCCACCTTGACCTAGACATGCTGAAGCAATCGAGAAGGGTCGGGTCGTTCAATGGATGGCCCTGAGTTCCATCCGCGCCAGGCAGGGTCCTTTGGAGTGCAGGAGGATCACTTCTTCAAGAAGGCCACAGAAGCGTGGCAGGGACTCACTGACTACACTCCAGGGCCCAATCACCATGGAAGTGGAAAAGGCCACTCACTAGGGTCTTCTGTTCCTCGCTACCGAACGGAACAAGGACGCTACGATCGGGGCTCCTGGCCGTACTACTAGGAGCAAGTAACTACTAGTAACAAGAAGGCTACTATTAGCAAGAAGGCTGCATGTGGTCATCCGAACTCGAGGCCATGCCTTTGCGCCTCCCACACTTATTGTTTGTTCGGATCGCGAAGGAAAACACGATTGGGGACTTCCTGGATTTGAGGGACTAGAAGCCCTAGCTGCTGGTTTGAAACAGATGCAACTGGGTTGTCCCAACTCACCACCATATGTTCAACCCAAGAAGTCACTTGTTGGAAGTGAGGACATTTGGACTAGATTGCACCATTTTGGACTCAGACTCAACCTGAGTGTACTTTAGAATTCGGACTCACGCTTCACCCAAGGAATTCCAATTCCTCACCTGCTTCCTGGGAGTTCCAAGGAATATGCACGCCAGCGTGGCTTGCCCAGAGTCTACATCGCTTGCAACAGTGGTGCACGGGTGGGCCTGGTCGAGGAGATCATGCCTAAGCTGCGCGTTCAATGGACCGATGCGGCCGATCCCTCCAAAGGCCGCCGGGGAAACCGCGGAAGACGCCACGTCCGGGACGGCGTGCGGGGCCCATATCCCCACGGGCCACATTATCACGTGTAATGTTTGAGATCCTACAAGTATGTAAAACAAAACACTTCAAGATAGTTCAATACATATATATAGAGATAGAGATAGATAGATAGATGACTCTTTTAATCTCTTTTACATTGATGTGTGTGCAGTTTCAATGAAAGCAACTACGTGGACAATAATAATTGCGTATTTGTCAACGGTTCATATTTACTTTCAAAAATGTCAATGATTAAACGAGAAAGCAAACCATAAATTTAAGAAAAAACACAGTGGATACATATAAGCTGAAATGCATACATATAGTTCTTATCCAATGGTCAATAGTCTATATAAACCGTTGTTGTTGTGTGTTGATGAATTTTTGGCCATATCGTGTTCATTTGAAAAAAAATATTCCAAAGTGACATGTTAAAAACAAATGAGTGTGTGTTATTTTTCTAGACTCGTCAGAGCTCAAACATATGTGACGTATGTGTGATGTTATACAATTGCCACAATCTTGCACATGTTAACTCATGTTAATGTGTTCATATTATTGCAATATGCGATCACATCATAGACTTTTGGATTGGGGATGTTAACCCCCAGATTCCTGGAGACCTGGAACCAGTCTTTGGCATCGCGAAAGTGGCCGGTCGCCAGTCATCAAACGGTCAAAAAGCTGAAGGCTCAAGCAAGTTGTCATCGACTTTGAGGCAACATATCATCCAAAGTTGAGGATGACTTGCAAAGCAGCGACAAGGTCAATTGATGCCAAACGAACATGGAGTCCGGCCAAAAGTCTATGATGCAAAACATAGATAAAGGGGTCGAAAGTAGCTTATGATGTTGTTTTTTCAATTAGATTATGCAGCGGGCCCCCCAGCTAAACACACCTACTCTGCAGCTGGGCGTTAGGTTTGCGGTAGACTTGCGCTAGGGTTTGACTTAGGACATGTCAGAACGTCGTCAGGTTTTGAAGAGTGGCTGGCTAAAAGCGCTAGCCGCGCGCTAGCACTGCGCTACATCCGCGCTAGCACACATTGCCAGATTCCAGCATGGGCCCTTCCAAGGCTGACTTGCAACAAGCATTGCTTTAAAGGGCACAGAGTTCAGACAGCAATGGTTCAACTTTCTCGGGGAGCAGGCGAAAACGGTTCAGCGCTAGTGACACCTCTCACCAATTTGGTGCCAATACTTGTTTGGTCAATGTTTCCTTCATTAACCAGCTGTGTGTGCCAAAAGTAAAGAATATGTAGCGGGCCCCCATGTGAACACGACAATCAGCCATTTTTTGGAAGAAAACATTTTGACCAGATCCCACATGTGCATACCTACCTACCTACCTACCTACCTGCTTACATACGTATGGTGTATAAGTATGACCGGAGAAAGCGTGACGGATGTTCACTTTGAACCTGTTTGCGATGGGTAGAGGCAAGGGCAATGACTCCACATGTTCATATAGAAGGATGCAGAAGTGGGGGTTCGCCAAATGAATCCTTTTCCCTTGCAGGAACTCAGCCTTTGGCTTTTGTTGTTGTAGCCATAGAACATCATAGAACTATTGCTTTAGCAAGTGCCCTCATACACAGCCAGAGTGCTTGGCTTTATTCACCAGTGAGGTTTCGACTACCTCTACTTGACGGAGGAGGACTACAACAGCTTGCCGACGGGCGCAGTGGTTGCGAAATCGGTGCCGGGCGTTGGATATGCCTTGGAGGCTGTGGTTGGGCACGGATTGAAATCCATCGAGGGTGGTATTGGTGTTGAGAACCTGCAGGGCAGCGGCTTGATCGCTGGAGAAGCTTTGGCTGAAGTTTTATAGATGATCAAAGTGGGGAAGAGGGGGTGACTGGCACATGATTTTGCGCTGCTTTGTTCGCTGTTGATGGGCTTGGAGGCTGTAAGCAGCACTGTTTGGGGTAGGCAAACGTGGGCAAGCAATTCTTGGATCTAAACAGACAAATGGGAAATAGGATTGTGCCAATTGTGCATTTTGCCGGGAACCGTGGGGTACGGTCGTTTTTACCTTGACTGGTCTGTTTTTGTTGATCCCAAGTTCAGGCATCCCAGACCCGATGTTGACCGCGGTATACGACGAGTCCAGAGAACTTTCCAAGTACTATCGCCGTGTGATCAGGTGTTCGATGTACTCTCTGACGACCGTCGTTCTTTTGTGCTTAGCAGCCCCAAAACGCGCTCAACAGCCCCAAGTTAGAAACAGACAGACAGGAGACTGAGACAGGCAGACCCATTGCTCACCATGGATAGAGAGGACTGTCAGACGGGCAGATACGAAGCAAAAAGAACATATTTAGATATAGGAACACATAATGTGGACTCTTGATTAATAAGCCCACCCATTTGAATTGGAAATCCTCTTCATGTGGGGGCTCTATGGTCCTCAAGAGTCTACATCGATCGTAAACACATCGATCCAAGGTGAATATTTTTTTTTTCACCTGTGAGTTGACGCATCGATGGCTCAGGAGACCTCCCGAGCATACAATGACATCTTCACCTTGTCCTACGTCACGGGCCGCAGCGTGGGCATCGGTGCATACTTGAACCGCCTGGGGCAGCGAGTCATCCAATCAGTAGATGGACCACTGGTGCTCACAGGATATGGTGCCTTGAACAAGCTGCTGGGGAAGAGTGCACCTTGAATGCCATAGGGGGACCGTTCTTTTTCCTATCTTGGCTGGTTCGGTTTTTAGTTGTTACCGATGGTTGGCCGGGGGAGGTAAGTTGAGGAGCTGCCTGCGCAGATGAAAGGATCAAGATCAGTACAGATCCATGAAGCCAGCAGCAAGTTGTTTGACTATGAAAAATTATGAAACATGTTGTGAAATTTGTTGTGTCTCTACAGTAGTTTGGTCATTGGTGACAGGTCATGGTACGATCATCTATTGATCCTGTAAGGCGGGCAGGGTGCACACGGACGAACTCGCTTGGGACCATCACGGAGATCGCACTCCAAAGATCGCTAAAACCAGCAATGGCCATGCGCCCATGTGGGGGGAATAGAGGGAAACTGTTTACTATGCCAGTGCCAGTCACATCAGTCGTGTTACAGGCTTGATATAGCTACAGGGCATTGCGCACTTCCACGTATGTGACATGTTGCGAGGATGCGTGTGACCAGAAACTGAAGAATTTGCCACATCAACCACAGGTGTGTGTGTTTTTGGTCCATTTTGGTCTTTCTAAGGGCTTGGTTTGGGAAATATCACTACATTCTATTTGGAGGTCTCTGCTGGTCACTTGATGGATCCAGAACCACCACCAGTGGACAGACCTGTTCCAAGAGCAGACCTCGGGTCCTGGTCCCAGGTCTACTTTTCTCAAGACCAACTGGGTGGTCCGCAGATCATGATGCCCAACGGCATCACCCATCAGTGACTCCGCCAACACTGACCCGGCAGGATTGGGTCAATGGGGGTGTCTTCGCTGTAATTTTTGCCCACGGATTGGTTGGTGACCCGGTGCATGTCGCGGTGCGCGTTCGGAACGAACGGGATGGAAAGCAATTGGTCGACAAATCACATGCGCCCATGGGAAAAAAGGGCCAGGCATAGCCCTAAGGTCCTGCCGAAAACACGCAGAGGTAACATACCCCCCATGCATGCTGGAAAGTACTCTTCTATAGTATAGACCCTCATATGCCATGGAAGAGTTTTAGGTCTCAAATCGCCAGGCTGTTGGTTGTTTTAGATCATTATGATCATTTGAGTCTGTGTTTTCTCCTTTGGGCGTTGCGTTCAGATCGCAGCGTGTTCGTCGTTCTTGGGCCACCCTCGGCCTCATGATGCTGTCACCAAAGTAGATGGCAAATTCGATCCCCTGGCAAAAGAAATGTATTGATATATATGCGGTTTTGTTTAGAAGAGGAGCTTGGGTCAATGTTTGATGTTTATTTGGACAGCATGTTTAGTGGCTGCAGGCTGCCTCACTAGATTGCAAAACAACAAAGGACTTTTTGGAGTGTTTGGTTTGGCTGTGAAGTTCAACTGGCATATACTGACTGCAATCACACCTATCCGCAAAGCAATTTGTTTGACAAGTCGGTGACTGGTCTTCTTGTTGATGGAGGAGCATGAAACACCTTTGCGATTTGTGGGACATATTACTGGGAATACTCACAAATGTTATTCATGTTCACTCCAAACAGGAGCACCTGTGAAGACTGAAAAACTCCAAATGGTTCTGGTGCGTTTTTCTCCCACCTTATGGGTTTTGGTTCTCCGCAAGTGGTGAACACGTTGCCATCCCCATCTTTGATGAACAAGTGGCCGAAAGCGCTTTGACTTTGACTGCGACCGACGCGCTCCTTTGCCGGTCCCGACCGACCGCGCGGGTTGGGATGGAGGGAGAACGACCAGGCTCGTGCAGAACGACCAGGAGGGAGCTGATGCGATCATCCAGTGGCTCTCCTATGTCCCTCGAGATCCCTGGAAATGAAGATTTGGAAGCCAAGAAGAAGGGAGAACATCTACAGTGGAACAGTGAACACGAGAAGGAAATTGCAGAAGTTTTTTTGGCATAATGGAAAAAATGAGTACCAGAAAGGTCAACCTACCAGAGTTTGTGAGTTTGGAGCTTTAGGTTTTGCATTTGAGAAGGGTGGGGAGATCTCGCAGACAAGAAACTCGGCTGTCATCACAACCACCTCCTACCATCGCATCTCATCCGAAGCTGGTGAAATCGACGTGTCAGGCTTGGGGGAATCTGGGAGTAGCGATGACCAGCGATGCCTCAGCGGTCACCATATAATATATCTGTTTTTGCAGAGAAATCGGATGAACTCGCCGATCATGGCGGTTTGTCCCGGATTCCTGATTCCATCCATTTGCCTCAGGATACCTGGTCCATGGTCCAGTCCATCCCCTCCGTCGACCCACCTGAGCGCTCGGTGGACTTCCGCCCGGAGCGCTCCGTGCCCTACGACCCGCGGCACATGCTGGCGGGCACCGCGCGCGACGGCCAGTGGCTCTCCGGCTTCTTCGATCGAGGCGAGGTGTTCGACGCCGTGGACGAGAGAGAGAGGGGCACTGTTTGGTGTTCAACAAGGTGGAAACATGGTTGGGTGTTGAGGGGTTGGCAGCCGGTCCTAAAGATGTTGCTTGATAACAACCCCACTACCTAGCTATTTATGATGATATATGGTGTACATCTCCGTTTTGGGTGACAGTCTATAGCTACAATAAGCCTGTACAATGTCTCATGTCAGGTCTTGCTTTCAGATTCACTTGAACAACTTTGGGTTCAAAGGAAAGCCAGCCTATAGGCTAGGCTGATGTCAGCCTTGTGGTGTTTGTACTTACCAATTTGTTGGTGAGTTTGTGACATCATCATCATCATCATCATCATCATCATCATCATCATCATCATCA